CTTCCTTCCTTCCTTCCTTCCTTCCTTCCTTCCTTCCTTCACAATACTGATTAGTCACACAAGTCTATGTACCTACGTGTCCCTGTAAAAAAGTAAAAACATTATAAATAAAGCTGCAATCCTATCCTTGCTCAGTCCTCACTGTCTCACTCTGCTTTCAAATGTCTCACCTCTATCATTTTCGTGTGTACCTCTCACTGTGCATTTCACAGTAGATTTTTTTTTCCCCCTGAGGGTTTTTTTCCCCCTCTTGCCTCTGCTGTTTTCTTCCTGCTGCACGTCTCTACTCCTTGGACCCTTCAGGTCTGTGACATTTTGCTCCTGGGCAGGTGGAACCATGAGGGGCAGCCCCGTCTCCCTGGGGGGAGTAGCAGGAGATTCAAGGCCTGTGTTGGGGGGAGCAGCTGGGTGAGGCACAGCAGGAAGATGGAGGGCCATTTAGGCCCCATCTCTGTCCCTTCCTGTCCTGGTTGTTTGCCAGAGGGAAATTCAATCCTGGGATGGTAGGGCTAATTTAATCTGAACTCCTCATTCTATAGATTGGAAACTTGAGACTCAGGGGGAGGAAGTGATTTGTCTTGGAGCAGACGTCTGAGCGGGGGACGTGTTCCAGGCCTCACTGTGTGTCCAGTGTCCTGTTAACCAGAGTACTCTGTGCACATCCCCACCCGAGCCCTGGAGCTAACGGCTGCTTGGGGGAGGGGGCCTCGGAGAAGGCTGATGTGGTGGGGAAGTTTCGGTCTTGGCTTCCGTGCTTGGAGTGGGGCAGTGTGGTGGGGTTCCACTTGGAGCTGTTTTCCAGCAGAGGCTCATCTTTGCTTTGATGGAAGTATTACCTCATGTCTGTGATATGTGTTTCATTCAGCTTCTTATTTTATTGGGTCTACATGGCAGGTGGATATCACAGGATTACCTCATCCTGGCCATGAAGGCATCGTGGTCTGTCCCTGCTGCCTCCCTAATCTCACCCCTTCTACCTTCCCACTCCAGCTACAAGGGGAACCCTTGTGGGGGCGCCTGGGTGGCGCAGTCGGTTAAGCGTCCGACTTCAGCCAGGTCACAATCTCGCGGTCCCTGAGTTCGAGCCCCGCGTCAGGCTCTGGGCTGATGGCTCGGAGCCTGGAGCCTGTTTCCGATTCTGTGTCTCCCTCTCTCTCTGCCCCTCCCCCGTTCATGCTCTGTCTCTCTCTGTCCCAAAAATAAATAAACGTTGAAAAAAAAAATTAAAAAAAAAAAAAAGGGGGAACCCTTGTGGTTCAGCCGTTCCCTGCCCCTGGTGCCTTTGAATTGCTTCTCTCTGCCTGGTATACCCTTGTGTTGTTGTTGTTGTTGTTGTTTTTAAGTTTATTTATTTTTGAGAGAGAGAGTGAATGGGGGAGGGGCAGAAAGAGAGGGAGAGAGAGAATCTCAAGCAGGCTCCACACTGTCAGCACGGAGCCCGATGTGGGGCTGGAACTCACCAACTGTGAGATCATGACCTGAACGGAAACCAAGAGTCAGACACTTAACTGACTGAGCCACCCAGGCGCCCCGCCCTTGTTTTTTGTTGTGTGTTGTTTTTGTTTTTTTAAACATTTCATTGCTAAAAATTCCAAACACACACCAAAGTAGAGAAAAATATTAAAGTAATGCTTTAATATCACTGGTACCTAGTCCAAGTTAATCTTCCCCCATTTGTCTCAAACGTGTCTTTTTACAATTATTTGGAAAGAGATATAAACAAGTTCCTAGGTCTTGAGCACAGGAACGGTGAGGTCTGATGCATACCGGCATCCTTTGGGCCGCTCTGTTGCAAGTGAAGTGATCAGGCGTGGAGATGGGCACTCCAGTGGTGACGCCATTGTAATAATTCAGCCTCATGGTGATGGCCTGGAATCGGGCGATGGAGAGGAGACAGAGAGATCTGAGATGTATTTTGGGCGCAGGTTGGAGAATGTGTTTATACACAAACCTGCCCCTGTGCTTCTGGTTGTCTGCATGCAGTACACATGTCAGCCAGCAGGTGGCACCATTGGCTGCTTGCTGGTCTTGAGTTCCAGGCAAGGACCTCTTGGGGCGTGGCCTCCGCAGGTGGGGTCTGGCACTGTCACCCCAAACTCTGCCTCTAAGTCAATATTGCCCAAAGCAATCTACACATTCAATGCAATCCCAATCAAAATTGCACCAGCTTTGCCAGAACAAGCAATCCTAAATTTATATGGAAACCACAAAGACCCCAAATAATACAAAAGTAATATTGAATAAAGCTGGAGAGCATCACAATCAGACTTTAGAATTTCCTCTACTACAAATCTGTAATCATCAAGACAAGCACTGGTACAAAAAACAGACACACATGACTGAATGTGAATTCAGAATAGGAGACTCCAGAATTGGACTCACAAATATATTAAGACCAACTAATCTTTGACAGCAGGAAAGAATGCTTCAATGAAAACCGTCTTTAACAAATGGTGCTGGGAGAACTGACATGCAGAAGAATGAAACTAGAACACTCTTCTATACCATCTACAAAAAAATAAACTCAAATGGATAAAGGACCTGAATGGGAGACAGGAAACCATCAAAACTAGAGGAGAAAAGTAGGCAAAATTCTCCTCTCTTGACCTCAGCTGCAGCATTACTTCTTTAATTCATCCCCAAAGGCATGAAAATTAAAAAAGCAAAATGAACTATTAACCCGGAGATAAAAAAAAGCTTCGCCGCACAGCAAAAGGAAACAATCAACAAAAAATCAAAAGGGCACCATTACGGACTGGGGAAAAGATAGCTTCTGCAAATGACAGTTGAACAGACAAAGGGCTGGGTATCCAAAATCTTCTATAAAAAGAAGTCACCAAACTCCACACCCAAAAAACAAATAATCCATGAAGAAATGGGCAGAAGACATGAATAGATACTTCAAAGAAGACATCCAGATAACAGGCACACATGAAAAGAGATGCTCAACGCTGCTCCTCATCAGAAATACAATCAAAAAAACCACACTCAGATATCACCTCACACCCAGTCATGTGGGCCAAATGAACAAATCAGAGACCAGGATGCTGGAAAGGATGTGGGAGAAACGGGAACCCTTGCACTTTGAGAGAATGCAAACTGCAGCTGCTCTGGAAAAGAGGTTCCCAAAATTAAAAAAATAGATCTTCATGACCCAAGTAATAGCACCTCACATAGAATTTATCTAAGGGATACAGGGGAGTGCTGATGCATAGGGCACTTGTAATGTCAATGTTTATAGGTAGCACTCTCAACGACATTAGCCAAAATTATGGGAAGAGCCTAAAATGTCCATCAACTGATGAATGGATAAAGAATTGTGGTTTATATACACAATGAAGTGGCAATGAGAAAGAAATGAATGGCCTTTGCATAAACATGGATGGAACTGAGAGGGTTATGCTAAGGGAAATAAGTCACACACAGAAGAAAGACAGGCACCATATTTCACCTTTTATGTGTGGACTGAGAAACTTAAATCAGGAAGAAGCCATGGGGAGGGAAGAAAAAAAAGAGAGGAGGGAGAGGCAAACCATAAGAGACTCCTTAAAACCGAGGCTGATGGGGGTGGGAGGGTGGGGAGGTGGGGGTGGGCATTGAGGAGGGCACCTGTTGGGATGTTAATCTGGGTGTTGTATGAACTAATTTTGATGTAAATCATATTTAAAAAAAATTAACTGTTTTCTAATTCGAAAAAAACAGAAAAAGCCTCAGCTTCCGAGGCAGTGTGGGCCTGAGAGGTTGGCTCCCTGGCAGCCAGCCTGAGCTGAGTTCTTGAGGTGCTTGCAGCCAGCAGTGAATCTGAGTGGAAGAGCCCTGGTGGAGCCCGAGGGAGCAGGTAGCCGAGCGTGTAGACCGGCCCACAGCGTCTCCCCTGCTTCCCCTCCTTCTTCTCTCACTTCTGCACCGCCACCTAATTAAAGCCACCTGAGCTGCTTGCCATGGCCTTCTTCCCTGCATCCCCTCTGAGCTTCCAGTCCCTTCTCTGCCCAGCAGCCATCTGCAGACTGGTCTCCTTCGGCTCACCTATCAAAGCCACCTGTTTATTTCCCTGCAGGACTTACCATGATTTGTGAATGTCCATCTCCCTGTCTCTGTTCATTTATTTGCTCCTGCTGTTTCTCTCTGGAAGGAAAGCTCCACGAAGGCAGGGGCATCACATCTATGTCCACAATAATCCTGGAAGGGCACAGGAGCCAGCAAATCTTTGTTGCACCAGTGAGTGAGTCAGCCTGAAATAATTTCTAGTGACCGTTCTTCCAGAAGGTTTCTCTGTGTGTATATGCACACAGGGAGATATATCTGGTTTGACAACAAATGAAATATGTTTATTTGTTATGTTCCTCTTGAAGTTTCAATTTTTTGAGGAATCCTTCTGGCAGTAGAAAGGAGAGCAGGTTTGGAGGGGGAGCAGGACTAGAGGTCAAGAGACGCACTGGGAGGCTGCACAGAAATGAAGGAGGCCTGAACTAAGCAAAGGCCGGGGCGATGGTGGGATGTGGGCCATGAGGGTTTAGGGCCCAGCTGGATGATGGGAATGCTGGAGAGGGAGGCTGCAGGATGACCCCCAGGCAACCAGGTTAGAGCCCTGGGGAGTGGCAAAGGAACCAGTTGAGGGGCAGGTTCAAGGAGGGCGAGCTGTGCTACAGGGCTGGTGTACCGTTCGATGGGGGCCTCTGAGTTGAGTTCATTAGAAGGGAGAGTTTGAGTAGAAGGAGCTGGCAGAGTGGGATGGATGGGTAAGAGGGAATAGCAGATGCAAAGTACTCTGGGGCCTGGTCTTCCTGAAACTCTTGCCTGCCTCACCCTGGCCCTCCTGAGCCCCATCCAGCCCTGCTGCCCTCTTCCTTTCCTGCCACACTCACCCTGGGTCTGAATCCTGATGCCCCCACCTTGCCAGCCTTGTGGCCTTAGGCAAACTCCTTACTTTCTGCTTTCTGTGTCCGCATGACATGGTACAGGGCTGACAACGCTTTCTAGGATTATGTGAGGGGTGCAGGTGATACACGAAACAGGAATCAGCACAGAGCAGGAAGGGGCACAGCTCTCGGTAGCTTTTGTCCCTTCCCTCGGCCCTTGGAATATCCTCCTCCTCCTCCTTCTTTTTCTTTTCTTTTCTTTTCTTTTCTTTTCTTTTCTTTTCTTTTCTTTTCTTTATTCATTTATTTATTTATTTTTAGTGTTTATTTATTTTTGAGAGAGAGAGAGAGACTATGGGTGGGTGAGGGGCAGAGAGAGAATGAGACACAGAATCCGAAGCAGGCTTCCGGCTCCACACTGTCAGCACAGAGCCTGACGCGGGGCTCGAACTCGTGAACCGTGAGATCACGACCTGAGCCGAAATCAAGAGTCGGATGCTTAACCAACTGAGACCTCCCCAGGTGCCCCATGGAATCGCCTTCTTTTTAAAAATTTTTATCACGGGTTGGGGGAACACCCGTCTCAGTACGGTTGGAGCGAGGATCACGTTAGGTTTGCCCTTGGACCGAGGTAGATGTGTCCCAGCACTGAGTTGTTGCTCGTGGCCTGGGGTTGCTTCCCCTACAGGTGAGGGGTGGGCGCCTCCTCCACGAGACCTGCAGCAGTCGCTCTGGCTACAGTGCTCAGTCCTGACTTGGCTGCAGGGTGAGCCCTGGACAGGGTCTCTGAGGCTGCTCCTGCCCTTCATGGGAGAGGTGATGACTTCTCCCTGGCCTCCCTGCGGCCCTGCCTCCAGCTCCTCTCCACCCCAGCCTCAGAGACTCCCCAGGGCCCTGGCTCCCAGCCTGCAGCCTTCCCCCTTTGCTGTTGTAGGTTTTCAGTGCTGAACTTAAGAAAAGGGATTCTTTGCTTTGATTACTGCCCAGACAAGAACTTGGTGGGTAAGTAATCTTCACGGCGCACGAAGCCGCTGGCCTGGTGGAACTGGAGTGAGGCTGCTGGGGGCGTGGGGACTATCAGAGCTGAGGAGGAGGGCTTGCAGGGCCCGGTTCCTCTCCTGCTGCTCTGGTCCCCACCTGTGGGCACCTGGGGTGGGGTGGTGACTCAGTCTCTGCTTAGCACGATAGGGCAGCAGGGGGGTGGACTGTCACGACCACCCCCTCCCCCCCCCATCTGCTGCACCTGCCTGGGGTCCAAGGCATGGTCCCAGGAGAAGTTCTCAGCATAGGACCCCAGTGGTTAACACCCATTTTTTGACCCCAGTGACTGGCGGCTACGACCCCCTCATCCGCCTGTGGAACCCCTTCTTCTCAAAAAGGCCCATGTGGCTGATGAAGGGGCATCAGACCTCCGTGACGCACATCCTCATGAACAGCAAGAACAGCAGCATCCTCTTCAGCATCTCCAAGGACAAGGTGCTGCCCTCATGGAGCATGGCTCTTACACCCGCTGGTCCCTGTTCCCTGGCAAGGACGCTGGCCCAGGGATGCTGATCTAGCTCGGTCAGCTGGGGCCCAGGGGAATGGTGTGACCTCCCTGCCTGTGGCTGCACACCTAGGCTAGGGCGTAGAGGGAGAGGCCCCAGGTGGAATCACCAAGAAGGGGCCATGGGTCTCGAGAGCCCTGGCCAGAGGCCTGCGCCCGCTCTGAGCGGTCCGCCAGAGCTGGGTTCCCGTGTGGCCCAGCCTGGCTTCTTACTCTGCGGTCCTGGGCCAGGCCCTTCCCTTTCCTGAGCCTCTGTCCCCTCATCCACAGGATGGGTTGTTGGGAGTTAGAGGAGAAGAGCTGGTGGTAAAGCCGCGGTGTCATGTCTGGCGCATAGTAGGTGTGTGATACGTGGGAGCCATTCCCTCGCCTTCCCTCTGCCCCCGGACCCAGACTCACACCTCAGCTCTCCTAGTGACCCCTTCTCGGCTGCCCTGGCTCTCAGGGCCTGACTGGAACTTCTCCAGTGCCTGGGGCTCCCTCGCTCAGGGCCTGTCCCTTTGCTGCCCCGCATCGATTGGTTCAGAGTACCCCCCATCTGCTGGGCTGCCGGCTGTTCTGGTCAGTGTGGGAATGAAGGCCAACGGCTCCAGGTGCCCTCCATCCGGGCACAAGTTTGTGTCTTCTGGGACTCAGGAGACTGAGAATTGGCTGGACCCTTGGGTTAGCCAGGCCACCCTCCCTAACACGGCCCACACTGGCTGTTGTCTGGCATCTTCCCGGCAGCCCCCAGAACCGGGCATCATGGCCTATGCTGAAGGATCTGAGGCTGGAGGGGCAGGCGGCAGGGGCGGGCGGGCCCCGTCCTCACAGTAGTGATGGGCAGAGCCAGGATATGGACTGGAGTCCGGTCGGTCCCAGTCCCTGCCCTTCCCTACTTACTGCTGGTGTCTCCAAGCAACGTGTGTCCCGGAGGGACTTCGTGGGGCCTCTCTAGGGACGGCTCCTCCACTTGCGATGAACTCGATGGGCTGCCCTGGAGACAGGTGGGCTTTTTCAGCAACTACGTTGGTAGCCACTGTGTGTCCTGCCTGGCGTTAGCTGAGGTCGGCTGGAGTGGAGCCTGTGAGGGTCTGCAGGGGCGCGTGCCGTCTCGCTTGGTCTTCATCCTCAGCCGTTGAGGGGAGGCCATGGGGGGAAGAAGCCTCGGGGCAGGGGGGGGGGCGTTGCCCCAACTTTCTCATCTGAGCGTAAGAATGGCAACTCTGTTACGCGGTCGGGATCTGTGCAGCGGGCGCGTAAGGAAAGTGCTTACACTGCGCGCGGCTGGCCCTGCTCACATCCCAGGCCTCAGGGGCCGGCCGTGTCCCCCAGGGCCCACTCTCGGCCTCTGCCTGCTTCCCACCCCCCAGAATATCCGCGTGTGGGACATGCAAGACTACATATGCCTTCAGTCCTTTTGTGGGAAGCTCTTTGCCCTGGGCAACTGCCCCATCACCAGCGCCTACTTCCACGAGAACGAAGACAGCCTCGTCTGCACGACCTACTCAGTGAGTGCTGCGCGGGGAGGGAGGCCAGGGGCAGAGACTACGTTAATCAGACGCCGCCCATCCCTCAAGGAACGTAGGCCGTAGAAGAGCAGAGAATGTCCGCAGAAAATGCTCCACGTGGTGATGGAGATTTATGCCCGGTGCTTCTTGGAGCATAGAGAAAGGGTCCTTAGCCTAGCCTGAGGTAGGGCATAGTCAGGGAAGGCTCCCCGGAGGAGGAGACACCAGATTGACGCTTTTTGCTTCCTAGAAGTTATGAGGGACGTTGGGACTCCCACAGAGTAGGGGTGAGAGGTATCGGCAGGCATGCTGAGGAACCAGGAGGCCTTGCTGGGCTCGGGCCTGCGCACAGTCAGGATGTCTTAATGTTGCAATTTATTGGAAGTGTTCCCCTGGGGCCAGTCACTGAGGGCAGAACCCAGTGCCCAGTTGCCTGCCCCTCTCCTCACCTGCAGATTGGGATCCTAAAAGGCTACTTGGAGACCAAGGGGCCTGGGAAAGCAGGGGAGAAGACCTCGACTTACAGCACACCCCTGTGCGCCATCCTCTACAGTAAGATTTTTAAGCAGGTGAGCGGGCTGGGGCCAGCCGTCTCTCGGGCTGGCAGGAGTGCCGGGTGACGCAGGGCAGGACCCAGACCTCCTGTCGTGCCCGGAGAGCAGTCAGCACAGTGGTGGGGTGGGGTGGAATTCATAGCATTGATGGTGGTGTGGGACAGCTGCTTAGGGGTGAGAAGCAACCCCGAAGAGGGGTTGGCAGCCTGAGGGGGGCAGGGGCTCTACCACTTGGTCAGTGGATCACCTCATTCCCCCCCAGCCTGCGAGCCCCTGGCCACTGCTGCAGGTCAGCTCTGGACGCGCCGCCTCTGTACGCGGAGTATGAGGTGGAACACTAGGTGTGGACCGCTCTGCGAGGTTCCCCAGGGGGGTGCTGTTCCTGGGTGTCATTATCCAAGAAAGCCCAGTCCAGGGAAGGGAAGTCCAGGGAAGTCTAGCACCCTCATCCCGAGTAGAGATCTCTGGGTGGAGCAGAACAACTGGGCATATGGTTTTTGAGGGGTGGGGACAGAAAGGGCTCCCAGGCCCTCTTCCCACTTCCACTGGGACCCCTTTTCTGGCCTGGGCTCTGAGCAGGACAGGCTGTATCTGCTGCAGAGATAGCCTTTGGCTGCACGAGGCCATTGTTCACCTCTCTGCACTTCTCTCTCAGGCTGGTTCCCGGCACCACCATCCCGCACACCTTAGGGCCCTTCGATGCCTTCAAACAGTTAAAAAAAAAAAAAATCCCCAGTTTTTCTAGATTGTTCTCAGCAGGAGGGTTGGTCTGAAACAGGCTCACCTGCTACTGTTGCATTGAAGTGGAGTGACTATCCTTTGTTCTCAGCATTTCCTTTCTTAGGGGGCAGTTAGTGTATTTCCTGTTGTTTTCTTCCCCCTCCATTAATGATGCTTCAGTAAACATCTTTTCTGATTTAGAGATTATTTTCTCTGGATAGATTCTGAGTTAAAGGGGATTTCACCAATGTGGTTCCTTCTAAAAGAGTTGTGCCAGTTTGCACTGGCCTGTGCTCCAGAGCAGAGGAAGGCCTGTTTTCAAGAGGGGCTTATCCAGCAGCAGGAACGCCTTGAATGCCTGTCTTCTCAGTGCATAGCGGGGAAGTGGGGGGCTGGGCTGGCCCCAGCCATGACAGGGGGAGGCCACCCTTGAGAGTGGGGACACTCTGTTCTCCAGGAGCCCCAGCCGTGTGCTCCCCCACAGGTAGTGAGCGGCTGCCTGAGCAGCTTGGTGACAGTGTGGGAGATCACGACGGGCAGGAGGATGATGGAGTTCTGTGTGACGGGGGACCAGCACGTGGAGCTGACCACCATGTGCCTGGATGAATCAGAGCGGCGCCTGCTTACGGGTTTGTGCGACGGCACCATAAAGATGTGGAACTATGCCGTTGGCGAATGCCTGCTGACCTTCCCCAACCCGGACCAGCTGGAGGTCGGTCTGGTGTGTCAGTGGTGCCCGGGGGGTGCCTTGTGAGAAGCAAAGCGTACCTCTCATGACCCTGGGGGCGCACTATCTTTTTATGCCTCTTTTTAAGGCTGTGCCTATAGACTGCCTGGCTTCTTGCCTTCCTGAGCCTTTGTGTTCTTGCCTGTAAGGTGAAGGTAGGGAACAGTGCCTGTCCTTAATAAGGATTCTACGAGGGCTGGCTACCCTTGTTCTTTTAATTTGTTGGCACTCCTAGCCCCAGGTATGAGAGCTTTGGATGGCATTTCCAACAGTGGGGCCCGGTGAGCCCCATGCTCACTCCTGTCTGGGAAATGCCGGGTCAAAGGGACGGGGTTATAAAGACAGTCTGTGGGTGTGGCATGGAGCAAAGCCAGCAGTCTCACTTTGGGACTTGAGCCCACTACTAACTCTTACGAAAGTCCTTGAACCAACTCAGAAGGAGCATTTGGCCAAGTAGCCAGGGATCTGAGTACTGGTGCAGATCCTATCAGCTATTTGACCTTCCCCGTTATCCCCCTGTTGAATGGCCATGGATCCCTACCCTGTCTACCTCCTCCGAGTCTATCAAGTGAAATCATGTGATGTGAGAGCGCTCTGAAAAACGTATGGTGGTATCACTAGAGAACTCTTATCATCGTGGAGAGGGTTGACTTCTTGCTCGGTATGATTAAGAAGACATTTGGGGCCCAGGGCCATTTTCTCTGAGGCACCTTAAGGCTCTGTTTTCTTTTATCGTCAACAGGTTAGTGGGATTGTCCACATGAACAAGGTGTTCTACGTGACAGGATGGAGTAAGAGAATCACTTGTTTCACGTGAGTGGCAAGGGTGTGTGTGGGGAGCTAAGGGCGGCTGACGGTTCTCTCTGCTTCGGGTGGGTTCCCCTATTCCTAGCTTCACTCGCTTTGGAAGTCAAGCAAGAAATTCATGGTGGGTAATGTCCCTTGCTTCATTTGCTCATCCATCCGTTTGTCCACCGTTCCTTGAGTATAACATGTCCTAGGCTTTGTGCTACATGCTGGGGGTGGGTATAAGCAAGAATGTGTCCCCATCTTCCTAGAGGGAGGCAGATGCTAACCAAATAACTTCATTTATAATGGTAAAGTCTGTTGAGTGCTGTGGGCAGGAAGAAGTACCGGTTTGGTTTTTTTTAATATTTATTTTTGAGAGAGAGAAAGGCAGAGTGAGTAGGGGAGGGGCAGAGAGAGGGGAACAGAGGTTCTGAAGCGGGCTCCTTGCTGACAGCACAGATCCTGATGTGGGGCTTGAACTCACAAACCACGAGATCGTGAGCTGAGCCGAAGTCGGACGCTTAACCAACTGAGCCACCCAGGCACCCCAAAAGTATAGGTTTCTATGGGAAGGGAAGGGAAATCGGATTTAGTCTCAGGGGCAGTCAGGAAACGCTCATCTGAAGCTGTTGTGGGTGGAGTGGGATCTTCTCAATGAAGCAGCAAGGGACTTGGGGTGGGAGGAACATTCCAGGCAGAGGGAACAGAATGTGCAAGTCCTCTTCCTCTTCAGGGGGCCTTTCCAGGGCCATGGCTTCCCTGCTTTAATCCTTACTCAGCTGTCTGAATGGGATGAATCTGTAAGATTGGTTGATGTCAAGCCCCTAGGACAGGGCCTTTGTAGTAGACACATGGTAGCTGCTTAGTGAATGAGGTCAGCGGGGCAGAGCTTCCACCTGAGTGTCCTCTTCTGAGTCGCCTCCCGGAATCTAAAGGCCTCGGTGATCCCCCGACCTGGTGTGGCACTAAGGCCAAGCGCTCTGCCCTCCCGCCTCTGGCCCTGTGTGCAGGCTCCACGAGACCAAGCCGATGCTTCGGTGCCACCACTGGCAGAACTTCCACAAGGAAGATGTCCTGAGCATGGCCAAGTACCAGAACCAGTTCCTCGGGACCTCCTCCTACAACGGGGACGTCCTCCTCTGGAACGCCAACCTGTTCAAGCCCATCCTCAATTTCAACGCCTCTAAGAGCCCCTTGCCTTTGCTGCCCAAGAAGGTATGGTCAACAGGGGGCACCCCCCACTCTTTCTCAGCGGTGGGCCAGAGTCAGATGTAGGGCCCGGGGGGGGGGGTAGGAAGGACCCCCAGGAAGGAGAAGGGATGGGATGACTTCTTTTGGAGGAGGTTGGGAGCTGGGTAAGTGGGTGCTAGTTTCTATAATTATCCTCATTTGACAGACAAGGAAAGTGAGGCACAGAGAGGTTAAGCATCTTGGCTGAGGTTGCACAGCCAAGAAGGGATAGGTCTGGACCCAGGTAGTCTGACTGCAGAGCCTGTGGACTGCTGGTCCTGTTCTGTCTAGTAGATGACTCTCTTCTTGAAGGCGGCTCACATCTTACCCATCACTATTATGCATTACCACTCTGGGCTCACCGGGCCCATGGTAGGGACTTAGGAAACCCACACCATCTCAGAATTACCTTATCTTTGCAGATCAAAGCTACAAGGGGACTTTGGGGTCACCTCGTCCAAGAATTTTCCAAACATGCCATGGAGAAATTCTCTGAGGCTACTGCAGTGGCTCCTAAAGCAGTTCAGCTTTTTATCTATTTTACACTTTGGAGCTTCCCTTAAGATTAAAAAAACCCTCCAAAATATTTGGAATCCACTGTCCATTTTACAGATGGGGAGACTGAGTCCCTCACGGGAGCAGTCTCCTGCCTGTGGGTACTCAGGGCGTTCGCGGTTGGCCCAGGGACAGGGTTATAAGCTCTGGTTTGATGCCCCTAAGGGTACTCGGTTTCTAGGGAGCAAGCCCTGGGTGCCTGGAGGGCCCTGCGATGTTAGCATTAGGCCCAGGAAGCCCTGCATTTCCCTCTGGGACACTGCAGCACTCCGAGGGCGGTTGTCTCCCTGGCACAGATCCAAGAAGTGAACGACTCCCCGGCAGAGGGTTTCAGGTCCAGCAGGACCTATGCGGAGCCCAAGAAGTGGGCACACAAAGCCCCCACACAGCCCCCGGACCCCAGGGCCAAGACTGCGGCCAACGCCCACCTACAGCGGAATGTGATGTCAGCTCCCCCAGTGATGAAACGCCCCAGAGACAGGGAGCCAGAGAGGCCCGTGCCTCCGCAGGTAGGAGCGGGAGCCGAACCAGGTGGCTTCGCTGTGTGTGTGTGTTTTCTTACATGGAGGCACTTTTTCCAGAGCCCCTTTAGGTAACCTCGGCTCCTTCTGAGCACTGCAGCCAGGCGGGCCACCTCCCTGGTTAGGTTCACTTCATCCATCGCCCTCTGCTGCCTCCAGCCTGGGCACGGTCCCTTCCCAGAGCATGGCCAATACCGGACCCCAGCGTCTACAAGCTTGGGGGCAGGACCTGGAGGCAAGACAATCCAGGGAACCTAGAGTCACAGGCTCGATCCTGGGCTACTTTCTCGGTCCTCCAGCGTGTGTGTCCTGCAGAGATGAGCCACTGGGGCCCACCAGCCTCCCCACCCAAGCCTCATCTCCCTGGAGACCAAGCTCCAGAGGCCTGAGGCCTCAGCAGAGGCAGACTCAGCAGAGGCAGAGGAGACTGAGCCCTCCTCTCTGCTCCAGGATTCACCCTCCCAGGCTTGACTGATGCTCTCATTTTGGGGGAGTAAGGAGATGGAGCAGGGTGGTTTGGCCTCCGACTCTCAGCGGTGGATACGGTATCTCTCGTGTGGGTCTGGGGTCAGAATACTTCAGCGATTGAAGTCTGATTCCTGTTCCTGGGAACTGAGGCTTGAGAGAGAAGCTCCACCTTAGAGACAGGCTCCACGCGATGCCTGTCCGGCGTAAGCAGTGCAGACCTAGATCCCACGTGGCCCGCTCTGCTGTAACGACACACGCACTGTGCGTTCCTACAGGGACGCTCGGACCACCTCTGGAGTGTCAGGGTTGTGCCACCGCACGCACACTTTCCAGAACCATGAGTATGCGCTCCCCAGTCCTCCCCTTTGGCCAGGGTATCTCTTCCAGGACAAGGAGAGGGTTTCCCCAAGGGCAGACTGAAGTCTCTGCCCCAACAGAGGAAGCTCCTGGTTACTCAAAATGGAGACTCCCCAGCACGGGCGTGTCTTTATTGCAGGATCCATTAGACACCTGGCTGTCCCTTTCACAGGTCGGTGTGTTTACTGACGGGGGGCTGGGGTGCTCGTTCTTTCAGCATCTGCCTCTGGTCTCCCCCCGCCGCCCCCGCCGCCCCTATGATGACCTGGGAGGCCCATTTTGCTTTCCAGAAACCTCTCAGTGCTGAAAGCCCTAAGCCGTTTAGAATACCCTATGGCAGACAGTCAGTTCTCAGAGATGCTCAAAGGAGAGGAGGGGAGTTCCAGAAGAAGGTTCTGCTGCAATCCAATGCATCGGTGGAGAAGGTGGGCCACGCTCAGGCAGGGTCTGGGGTATGAGCTGGGGTTGGGGGGTGGGTGGGTCTGGGATCAATCAGGATGGGTTGGAAGGGGAGGGCCTATGAGCCTAAGGGGCCAACCTGGTTCTCCCCGGGACCTGGAGAGGCATGGTGGAGGTGAAGGTACCACTCAGGACTCTGGCTTCAGGGCCACTGTGTCTGGGGGAGGCTCCTTGAGTATATGCGTGGAGGAGGGTGCAGGGTCCCCCCCCGCGCCCGGTTGGTGGGATGGCCTGGGATGTAGGAGAAGCAGCATTGCCAGAAGCCACTGTTAAAATGTCCTCCCGTGCTCTGGGAGGGTGTTTCGTACAATATGTGAGTGGGGCTTGGGTCATCTTTGTTCTTCTTCCTTCCTCCTGCACCTTTCCCCCTTCTGACCCTGGATGCCCCTCACTGTGCCGTCACCACTAGATGAAGTGACCACTCAGGCCCCTTCTAGCTTTGATGTGCAAACATAAGGTAATTTGGAGGCTCTCCGGGTTTCCTAAGACCCTACCAGGGGCCCAGTGAAAACCCAAATCATAGTTGTGTTAAGGTGTGGCAGCACCGTCCCCTTCCCCAGCTCCAGGGCGCCAGGGACTTGGGAATAGGGGGGCAGTGCCAGCAGGGCTGGGTCCTGCGGTGGCGGAGTGGAGAGCTGCAAGCAGCTGGACAGTCTCTCCTCCACGTTGCAAATGTGCTTTCCCCTCTTTTAAAAAAGTGCCTTAGGGGCGCCTGCCTGGCTTAGAGCATGCGACTCGTGATCTTGGGGTTGTGAGTTCGAGCCCCACGTCGGGTGTAGAGATTACTTTTCAAAAACCTTTTTTTAAAAAACCTTTTAAAAGTAGCGATTCT